AAATGGAGCGAACTTGTTTTGTGTGAGGAGATGGACTTCTGTAACGACCGACCACCCCAACTAACACAACGAAGAAGAGATCTAACCCTAACCCTAACCCTGAACCTAACCCTATCCTTAAACCCTAACCTTACCTTTAACCTAACCCTAACCCCTACCTTTAACCCTAACCCTAACCCTAACCTTACATTTAACCCTAACCCTAACTCAAACCCTAACACTCTGTCTTTTTTAAAAATAGCGGTCGGTCGTGACGGAATTTCTCGCGCGTGATGTTGTAACACAGGATACAGAACTGTTCCTGACGAAGAGAAAATTCCTATACGGGTTTCCTGGGGCTGATGACACAGAAACAGTTGTCGTTTTTTTCCCCTTTTGATTTTAATTCTTGAAGAATATAGCTCTGTTGTAATTTTTCTGCTAGTGGCTTCGTCGCGAGGGAAGGACTTCCGTAACGAGCGACCGCCCCAACAAACACAATAAAGAAGAGACCTAGATCAAACCCTAACCCTGACCCAACCTCTACCCCTACCTTTACCTCTACCCCCAACCCAACCGTTACCTCTACCCCTACCCCAAACCTTTCCCCTACCCAGACCCCTACCCCTACCCCTACATCTATCGTACCCCTACGCCCTACCTCAAACCTTACCCCTACCCCATCTTCCATCCCATACCCTCTGTTCTACTCTGTCTCATAGGCCTAGTGGTCGCTCGTTACAGAAATCCTCCCGGAAACAGTTGTAGTTTTTTTCCTCTTGATTTTAATTCTGAAGAATACAGCTCCGTTGTAATTTCTCTGTAAGGCGTTAGTGGGTTCGTCGCGAGTGCTGGTCTTGTGTCATATTATTTCTACTGTCAGCTGCTGGTGATTGAATAAGTGCTAGGCTATTATATATACTATTCTAAATGAAGTCCAGTGTCAGCGTGGTGTTGTGTGGTGTTCGTTGTGGATATACTTTGATAACCTAACAGTGGATACATCGGTGGGTCCTTGCATGTTAACCAACTCCTGAGCCTGAGACGACAGGACCTTTCCACAAGGTGTTCATCTGTTCGCAGTGAGTACAACAGTAGGTTTACATCAACTCTGTTCTAAAACAAGAAACGTTCACGTATTTGTTTGTGTGGGTACTGGGTATCCTGGTTGGCCTTTTATTTTATTGTCATTGGTCTCATAAAAAAAAAATCGAACCATCTAGTAGCTGGTTCCCTCCGACATTTCCTTCAGGGTAGCTGGCGTAAAGATATAGAATTTATGTAATTTTAGTAGTGTTTTCTAACCAAGCCATCTACTGTAACTGGAAGATCTCTCTCTCTCTCTCTCTCTCTCTCTCTCTCTCTCTCTC